GCATCAGAATTGCGGTAAAAATTAAGCACTACCATCATGATTAACAAACAGAAAATTTTCATGAAAATACATATATCATTTAATGTAAACAAATAAACGGAACAAATAAATATACAAAGTATTGACAACAGTTCAATTTTTAACCCTTGTTTTCAGTTTAACCATCATCGCGGAACCCCGTGACTCTCACAGATGCGAATTTAACAGTAGCGAGTTTAAGACATGAAAAAACGAAATTAAGATAACACCAAAAACACGCATACGGACAGAAGGTACAATTTAGTCAACAACCAAACTGCGACAAAACTCTCAACTGGTAAGAAGAATAACAAAAGTAATGAAAAATGCCCAAAACTACCGGATTTCGCTTCAACAGAAGATATAAAATGCGCAGACGAAATTACTGCCTAACCCAAATCATCGAGACGTATTACGTTTTTTTCGCTGCTAAAATAAAATTTATGACCACTTCTGAAGCGGAAAGAAGCAAAAGTATTAATAGTAGAAACGATATAGTATCCACTTTCATTGAAAACATCAGAACTAACCTTGAGCACCTAAAGCGGCAGTATTCAAAGCAGCATTCGGAGCGGGAGTTTTAGGATGGACTGTATTGAGATGAACTTCCAGCTTGTTATAACTGCTACATTTAAACGCACAAACATCGCAACTGTACATTATTTCAGCGGAACAAAGTTTAACTTGGTGATCTGTCACTAGATGTTGTAGCATGTTGAAAGCGTACTGCTGAAATGTTCGTTAAAAATATACATAAGCTCGTAAAAATTACAAGAATCAAGGTCGAACTTGTTGAGAACTTGATAAAATGACCTTGCCACATAATTTACAACGACCACCATCCTCTTTATTCTGCGCTTTTGTGAGGAGATCAGAAGTTACTAAGCCATGAGCCATTACCAAATGTCGTTCAAGACCTTCATATGTCCAAAACCTATCTCTACAGCGACTACAGGCTAGTGGGGCTCCCTGCAAAATGATACTTTAGCTAGAAAAAATTATACTAAAATGTGTCAAAAAAAAAAAAAAAAAAAAAAAAAAAAAAAAA